TGAAGGTGAATAAAAATTTCATTATTAATTAATTAATTGGAACTTACTATCCATTAATCATTACTAACAATGTTTTTATTTACATTTAATTGCATTGGGTTCTAATAATCAAAAGAAGGAATTGATGAATGACTAAGTTAATCTCCACTATAAATTATTCGTTAAATTAATTGTCTTTCTATTTTATCTTTATTTTATTCTTAAAGCTAAATTATAATAATGTTTTGAATAATAAATTTTTTGATTCTTGTTGAATTGTGGTCTCATTTCGGCTAATTAACAATTATGACTTAACTTTTGGCTACTCTTGTAAGTTAATTGCAAATAATTTGGTGCTTGTCAATTAATTAGTTTACAATTTACTTTGGTTCCCTCTTTCTTGGACCTAGACGAATCTGTGAGCACACTTGATGGTACCAGATAACTGTAAATAAATAAAGATCGTCTTTTACAAAGCTCAGGCTTCGATTTATTTCATTAGCTGATTGCAACCCACTTTGGTTTACTTGTAAAACAACTTAAGCAGCTCAAGGAGTCTTATAAAGAGAACAAACAAACTAACGGAGCTTTGGATCAGCTGTAAAAGCAAATAAAGAAGGAACTTTAGAAAGACATTTGCTGCTTTCTAAATGACCACGCTTTATTGTGGCTTACAGCTTTATAGGTACAAGCAAGCAGGAGAATTGGGATTGTTAAATAAATTAAGCACCTCTTACTGTATTTTTATTAAATAAAATTAATTGTTGATAAACTTTTAAAAATAAAAATAAAAGCATTATCTTTATTTTCTTTGTTTAAAGCAACAAGTATAGTTAGTACTATGGTAAAAGGTAACAATTGTGGAGCTTTGGTAAAAAATCACGTTTATTTACTTTAGTGAGCAAGCAAGCAAGATTAGGTTAACTAATGACGATTAGTAACGTGATTTGTTTTAGCGAGTAAGCAAAGATTTGGACTAACATTGGTTAACTAGTGGATGTTAATGAAACATCATCAAAGGTTGATTGGAAATATTGGTAATATTATTGTAATTGTAAATGCAAGGCTGTTAAACAAGCTACTTAAGTTGTTTTGCAAGTAAGCCAAAGTGAGTTTGCAATTGGCCAATGAATGTAAACGAATAAATCAATTAGAAATGAATAAAAAGGACTTTATAGAAGCCCTTGAGTCCATATTTATTTATTTACAATTATCTGGTACCATTAGGTGTGCTCACAGATTCGTCTAAGTGTCAAGAAAAAGTGAACCAAAGTAAGTTTGTAAACTAATTAATTGACAAGCACTGAATTATTTGCAATTAACTTACAAGAGTGGTCAAAAGGTTGAAATGATAACAAGAATCAAAAAGTTTATTATTCAAAACATTATCATAATTTAGCTTTAAGAATAAAATAAAGATAAAATAAAAAGACAAATAATAATTTATAGTGGAGATTAAATTAGTCATTCATCGATTATTTCTTTTAATTATTAGAATTTAATGTAAATAAAAAATATTGTTAGTAATGATTAATGGATAGTAATTTAATTAATTAATAATGAA